AGGATGATACACGATTACGTGTTACCATTATTCTATTCATCTATCGTATAATGTATAAGTGCCATTTTCAGTATTTCATTTCCATTAATGTATAAGTCTTTAAGTGTATCATTTGTACTAATATATATGTATAGCCAAGTAAGGTAATACACGAATATGTGTAACCTTTAAATTGTCATCGTTCACACTGATACACAATTTTCATTCTCAGTGTATCATTTCTGTCAACGTATAGGTGTGTATGTATCATTTTTATTGATGTGTGCATAGTCCAGTAGAATAATGTATGATTATGTGTTTTCATTTATCGCCATCATTTGTATGTGTTTATGCATATCATTTCTAGTAGTTTATGTATAGTCATATAGGATGACACACAATTACGTGTATTCATTAATTGTCATCTTCTGCATTATTGCGCCAGTTGCGTCAGTGTTTCATTTCTTTTAATGTATAAGTGTTTATTGTTTGCCTATCTCATTAACCCCTTAGACCAATATACATATGTATCCAATGTACCTATACCACCAATGTACCTATGTATGAAACGTTTTATTAATTGTATACTGAAGCATATATATGCACAGGCCCTTGTTTGGCCACGTCAATACCACATATTCTCCATTAATATATTTCCGATGCAGCCCTTTCAGGAAGTCGCCAGGGTTGTGTTGTTCTAAATAGGTGCGGGTACCGGATGACACCCGATTTGGCATATTAAGCCGTCCGGGTGTCCGGGCCCTGCATTCACCTGTCACCTGTATATCGTACGTTATTTTAGGTGAGAACATTTACACTAATCCACTTAATTTATTACCTAGTTCTTATATTTCCTCATCCCAACGTGGTTATAACAGTGTCTCACGCCATCATCATCAATCTCTTTGGGAGCATAAATTAAAATCAGAAAGAAGGGTATAATTATTTACCCTTTATTCGCTCAGCATAATTAACAGATGGCTCCATTTGGGCTTAAACAAAGTCAACACTTCTGGCTTAACTCAAAACAGGTAACGATGAACTTAAAATGTAATAAATTAAGTTTAACGGCTCACAGGATAACTTAACGCGCAGAAGCCATTATGCGAAAAACAAGCCTAATGGCTAGAAGCACTCAACGCCGCAGTTTAATCGCAACTAATTCAAAATATTGTAGTGCAGTGGCGGAGTCCACTACACAAATCCCTATTATAATACAGCGTTGAATATGAACTTCTAACTCAAGTTCTACAACAACATAAATTTTATTAAAAAATTTAAACAGGTTCCATGACAATGTTGGACTTGGATACATTCCGTCCCGTAATTTTAGATTTTTGTTACACAGATATATGCTCGATTAACAGCATGCACTGGAAGTCATAGTTCTAGCGGGCTGAAATTCCCATAGCCCCAGCAGGAAAGTCCTGGTCTCTACTTAAAAAACTGCCACTATACAATCTCAGTATTTATGTTCAAAGATTAGCTGCCCAAGTTTGAGTTAAGAAATCCACATGAATTACACGTAATTTCCCTTCTCATCTCCCAGAATCAGAACCTGAAAAGAAACTATCAGTGTTTTAATTCTTTAGCTACGCGACTACCGATTAACTCTAAATTTTCGGTTGATTTGTTATTTTTTTAAATAAGACAAAGCACTCGAAGCCTCTCTGTGGCTTCATGAAGGAATTTTTAAGGTTAGACTTAGTTTATTATAGCAAAGCTTGTCTGACTAAGGGAATAGATGCCTTTGTGGATAGCTTTCTAAGCGAAATTGGCTCCTATACACGTCACACGTGGGAAAAAACAAGAAAACGCCCATGCAGGCAGCCGTTCGTTTTGATTCGAATCCAGGTCGGACCTAGGTTTCAGTGGTTTAGTGTGATAGACATGTTCAGTGCTTTTATTGCTCGGCCTTTATTCCTATATTTTCTTATAGTCTTCTTATACTTTCTTTATTCTTATATGTTTGTAAATTGTGCATTTTTTGCTTTAAAAATGTTTGAATTATGTTGTTTTGGTTAAGATTTTTATGCTTTTAGTTAACCTGCCTGCAATAATTCTGGAATTATCAGCAATCTAAAAGTTTTTTAAAGTTCGACTAAGCCTAATTTTTTATTACCATGGGAGCCATGTTTGTTTACATTTGAAGCTTAGCAGAATAGTGTATTTGTTACCATGCTACAGAAACTAAGCCTCGCAACAACAAAGTAACGTCTTCTTTTATTATTGCGAATTAAATTATGCTTAATTTATTCTGGAATTATCATTTAAGTTATTAGCTTGTTTTCACGTAGAAACTGTAATTTTAATTGCAAAAAAAAAAAAAAAATTAATTGTTTTAACTGTAGTTGGGGTTTTATGTTTTTCTATATCTTTCAATTTTAAATGAAAATATTTTGAATTTTTATGCATTTTTGCCTTCCCGCGAAGGGAGAACTGAATTAATTAGTAGCGCATGCGCATTAAGTGGCATTGAATCGTCTGTGAAATACTGTTTCTTTTTTCTTCCTTTTTTAAATTTCTTTTATACATCGTTTTAGACTTATTTCAGTAAAACATGTGGCAATTCTTCAGATGATATAACTTTTGGGCATTCTGAGGTATAAATTGATTGAGATGTAACGCTGTTAAGTGAACCTAGCTCCAAAGTGTAACTATGGAAAATAAATATAGAGAAATCTAAAGAGTGCTTCAAAATTCGTTAACTGTTAATTCAATATGTTTAAATGAAATGCACGAAAATTGCGTATAATGTAATATTCCGTACAAGGAACTCATGTGGTGTACACATCAGATTTTTTACATAGGGTTAGAATGCGCAGTTTGTACCACCGCTTAAGTCCATACGTATTAAATATTAAGCGTAATATCACGCCAACTGTGCCTCTTTCGGCAACGAGTTACCCTTTAGTCAATGTTTTGCTTAAATAGTATTAATTTCGTGTTCATAAAATTTTCTTAAATTTATATAACTATTTATACTACTGTATATATTACTGTTTGGAATTTTATTATAATAATTATCAGCAACGACAACACAACATATTATTACCACACACATATTTTAATTTTTCATAGATTCTGCGATCTAAAACCACTTTTTTTAGAGGGTACGACTTATGCAACCTTATCCTACATATTTAATTTTAATTGTACGAAAATTAATCAGTGTCTTCGTCTGTGAGTTTGTTTCATTCAGATTATATTGATTTTAAGCTTATAAGAAGCTGAATGTATGAATTCGTTCAATTCTTCTTGCGATTTCTGTGGAAGAAGGTAACTTTCCGGGCACAATTCTTCACATGAAATTTGCAGGAAAGAACGATAAAAATAATTCATAATTATAATTGCCCTTAATCACTTACGTCAGGAGTTGCTGTGTTTCCATGTTAGTTAATTTTCCAAATGAAAATGCATTGACCAGCACTCTATAGAGATAAAATCACTAGGAATCAGTGATATCAGAGAGGATGATATTTCGATTATTATACTCAAATCTCTTTAGAGAGATGATAACCATCCTAAATGAAACAAAAGAATTTTAACATTCATATAATTTTTGCAAGTAAAAAAAAAAAAATTATTTTATGCTATTTAAGATAGTGGGAACAAAAACGCGCAGCTGTGCGCTTCTTATCGTCAATAACATTTGATTTCTTAATATTTAATAATGTACAATAAAATATTTTGAAATAAAATGCTTTTAAGCAGAATATCGTTCCCAGAAATGGTATAAAACTAATTTTGGTACTTCTGAGCAATTTAGTTTTGTTATAAGGATTACATTTGCTCTCATTGCAGTTAGTGTCATTCTTTATAGAAAGTAAAAATCAAGTTCGTGTAAGTAGTTAATATTTCGTATTTAGATATTTACATGCTCACATATAAATTAATGAAAGTTCAGTATTGAATTTAAGTTTTTACTTCTCTTTAGTTACATTTAAAGACAATGGATATTTCGTTCGATCCTGTTTGTCTAAGGAAAACATATCGCTTAGTTAAACTTTAAATTCGTGATGTTTAATCTGCTACACGAAACTCTTTGATTTCTCCTTGGTATTTGAAATCAATACAGAATATCAAAAGCAAAAATAAAATTTCCTCAGAATATATTTTATCATTAATTTTTTGCTGTAAAAGCGTATTCATAATAGCACCCGTTTTGTTTACTTTTAGAAACTTTTTCTTCTTCTTAATCAAAGTATTTATGATTTTTCCTATTTTAATGACCGTCGTGTATTTTCCAAAGTTAACGAATAGAGCACTTGTTTCATAATGAGTAATGAACTGTATCAACTATTATTGGAGAAGTTAAACTACAAGAACTAACTTAATATTTCTAAATTTTGCAGCACTAGTTTATGATTTAAATACAGCATCACCTTCTTCAGCTGCCTAAATGCAAATGAACGTGATAGACTATGGTGATAAGATAAGAATGACTGGAAAGAAGTCAAGTTAATGGAGCCATCTATTGATGAAACGAGAAAACTAAAACATAAATTTCCTTAAAGGCTGAAGGTAAAGATGGATTGGAATTAGGGTCGTTAACTAGAACTTAAAGAAGTTTTTTGAATGTGAAAAGCCTCTGGAAAATCTAATGGAAGATGATTTATGAATAAATTAGCCTCAGAAAAGTAGAAAGTGCAATCTTCTGACCAGCACTGCTGGGCAACAGATGATTTCTGTGTTTCGTTTTTCCTAACATATGCCTCATGATCTTTAACGCGAAATTTTAAGGGTATCTTAATTTTACCAATGTAAATTAAACTTCATTGGCAAGAAATCCTCTAAATGCCCCAGGAATTCATATTCGGATTGATGTCCTTAAGTATGGAACTGGGAATTTTATTGATAGAAGAAAAAGCGACCCGTTAAGTTTCTGTTAAATACTATATGAACTTACTGTATCTTAAACTGCGTGGACGTTTTTGAAATATATTTTTAACATGCTATTATTATTACTTTTCGACAGTTTGGCAATTAGGAGTCATTATACAAATGTGCTTAATTGTGAGATGTGTGTTTATTTTTACAGATAGAAAACGGAGTGACAGAAACAGGCCGTATACGTTACGAGTGCGTTAGCCGGGGATACACAGCATCCTGGCAAAGGAAAGTTTATTTCATGTGGCTCACGTTCTACATCTTGATCATACCTGCTGGTTGCATCAGTTATTGCTACATCAATGTACTGAGGACAGTGTGGGCAGCAGGACAGGAGAACGGAAGAACAACAACCACGTCTTCAGGCAGTGGCGTGGACACCGTGCACTCTACTATTCGCTTGCGCCGGTCTTTCAATGCAGCCTCCACCATTCCCAGAGCAAAGATCAAAACTTTGAAGCTTACAGTCTGCATCATAGCGAGCTTCATCATATGTTGGACGCCATATTTCATTGTGCACAATATAAGAATATTCAGGTAAGACATAGTTTCTCATCATCACAATTAGCTCTTTAATATAGTAACTGAATGTAAATGCAAATTCAGTTTTAGCTGAAATTTCCCAAAAGTTGATAATTAGCCTTTTCATTAAATGTAAAAAATGTATATATGCAGTCATGGTAGCATAAGGTCATATCAATCAGCTTGGTATTACGTAATCAAGACAGGTTCTTTTTTTGCTATTGATTTTAATCTAATACTCAGTTCTTCCTTAAAAAATCTTGTGTAAATTCTCTTTCTTTTCTTTCACAAGTGATTGATTACAAATAACAGAAAATAATAGTTTACTAAAAAACTTACTTACTAAAACAAATGTTTTTAGTAAGTTAAGGATCACATTCACTCCAATACTTGCACTAAATTTCATGCATAAGCTATAAAAAATTAGAATTATAAATATAAATTTAATTTCTTTCCTTCGTTATATACATATTATATATTCAGTTTGTATTTTCAGTAGTCTTTCCGGCGAAAGGAAGGTTAAAATAGGTCTTGAATATGAAACGTCTCTTATTTAAATGAGTTTGGTGTATCGAAGAAAATATACAGGGTGATTCTAACTTGTTTTTAAGAATTAAGAGAGGTGATAGTACTCATCCAGATGAGCAATATTTACCATAGAACATAGAGTCGCATTCCATTCTGAGAGGCAGAAAAGAGGAATATTAGAATTCCAACCTACACTTACAACAGTGTTGGGAGAGCGAATGAACGAGACCAAAAGTTGCCTATCAGTTTAGTGAAAACTGACAGAGAGTGCACAAAACGGATAAAACCGAAAACTTGGCATTCGAGTGTTAATTCGAGTTCAGACTTTGATGGCAAACACTCAAATGCACATCTTTGGTCTCACCCTCGCAAACGATTGCAACAAGTTAATAATCTAATCAAAGGCTGAATATTATCAACTAACTCAACTCAAGGTAGGTTTGATACTATCCAAGGTAGCAGTTTTTTTCCTCTTCACCATTTTCTATCCTATCCTGTTGGAGTTACTGTGCTGCACGCTGTAATGGGAGGCACGCTATAAATGGGAGAAATTACTTAAACACTAAATTTCAAAGGCCGACAGATTTCTTTCTTTCTCTTAACATACAGTATTACGAATTTGTACATATATAGATGATTTTAGAGATTATTTTGAAATTTAAAGAGACAAGCTGTGCCGGAATAATACGAATGCTGGGAAAAGTCCATTTAACACTTGAGTAAATGGGTATCTCGGTAATTTGGCAAGATATCGCCAATCTGACAATGGCGACTTATTTTGTTGACAAACGCGGCAAAAAAATTGGCAAACGTCGCCAAACTTGGCGACTATTTGGCGACATTTTGTTCCGATTCCTATATCAACGTAGTAGGTATTGTAATTGAATTGGTATTGTAATGTCATTAATCACTATTTTAACTGCAACCGTAATTCGACCCTCAAATTTCTCTCCAGTAATTTCGAGAAGTAGAAAGTACTAGAAATATCTGAGTGGCCGGTTGAAAACTATATAAGGCCGAAAAGACCATTTACTCTCAGTTGTAGTTATTGTTGTTAGTTCAGCATGAGATTGGAGATATTTCCGGGTTAGCTCTATGTTTAGATGCGCTTTACATTGCCTTGTGTTTAACGCTGTTAGTAGTTTGAAGTGTAATTGGTAGTACTGTGAACTCTATAGTACTGTGAACACCTGTACGAGTATTTCTGTGAAAAATTCCAGAAATTTAAGGTGTTTCTTTTGATAAAAATAAATTTTATTAACCTATCGTCGCATCTGTATGCATTCAATATATTACGAATCTGTACACATGTAGCAATATGTGTAAAATACTTGTTTTACTAAATTCCGTTTGTAGCTTCTTGATAAGTGCATTGTTTATATAATTGTCTCCTTATTTTTTTTTTTTTTTTTTTTTTTCATTATGGGTTCAATTCGATTTATCTTTTTAACAGAAAGCAAAACTCTTATTCGCTAAGGAATGTTACTGTGTGAAGGATTCGTGAAATTTACGATTCTAATGATTTGAGAGAGTGGACGTATATTACTTAAAAAAGTAAAAAAAAAAAAAAAAAAAAAAAAAAAAAAAAAAAAAAAAAAAAAAAAAAAAAACAAAAAAAAAAAAAAAATTACAATTTGTTCTGTCTTTAATCAAAGTGCAAAATTATAATCAATAATAAATAGTTCTAATTCTTGTTCAACAAAAAGTGTATGCTTTAAGTTCCATACAAAGAAATACTAATTTGTTAAGATTTTGAAATATCATAAGAAAGTTTAACTGTGTGCCATCTTTAAAAAAATAGTAAACTAGATAAATTTTATAATTTTTAAAAGTTATACATGAGAAAAAGTAATAAAAGTAAATTATTAATCGGAATATACTATATGCTATACAGAACTAAATTCGTTAACACCTTTCCTAGGATTTTAGTAATGAGTAAGTTTATTCTAAATTTACTTTTTTTTCTCATCAACATCAAGTTTTCTGCCTTAAAGATGGGTAAATATCTAAAATGACGAAAAAAATATAATTTTAATTAGTTTTAGGCAAACATGATAAAATGAAAAGGTTTTAGTTTTCATTTTGAAACTTTTATTTTCCCTTAATTAACAGTTAATGTTTTAATTACGTTTTCCTATCGATTTCCATCACTTCCGAAAAAACTCCCATTTTCTATCGAAAATGTAAATTAGTTCAAAATGACAGGAGAAGAAGAATGTCGTAAACGTTTTATTTTTTGTTGTTGCTACATTGCTGTCGGGGATCTCATTGTGGTATCTCCTATTTAATATGGTTTAATTCTGAAATTTTGAGGAATCTATGTAATTTAAAGTAGTAAATAAGTTAATTTATTTTATTTAAATGATGCAATAAGTCTATACAGACTTACATTCAGGAAAGTGGAATATTCTGAAAACAGTAACCAAATGTTATAGCATATTGATTTCTGTAAAACTTGTAATTAATTTTAGTTTTGTATATTTTTAATAATATAAGTAACCTCAGAGACTGACACTAATACATTTTAATTGCATTTTCGTTTTAATTTCATTTTCATGGCATTTTCGTTTTACCTGTATTAGTACAAATTAGTAAGTTCACATGTGTGTAAGGCATCTGCCCAAATCAAGCACTCATTTTAAATTTTAAATTCACCAGTAGTTCAGCTATATATAAATAAATTAACAGCTATGTATAACTTAACAGCTATGTATAAATAACTTAACAGCTATGTATAATGTAATAAAGATGTTATTTTAAGTTTAATGCCTTTAAGTCCCATATAGATCTTGAATTTCAAACTCGAGTCTTCCTTGGAGATAATTATTTGTAAATTCTGAGTTACGGTGTAATTTCTATTTAAGGATTGTCGAGACATTATTCGAGAGTTTAATGATCCAGTATAATGGAAGTTACAATGAGTTCTCTCTCTTAAAAGGCAAGAGCCTGTTCGCTGTCAATGCATTTCCAATAAATTCCGAATAGAACAGCGAAGGATGAAGAACGCATTCTGGAAATCGTAATGAAAATCGTTAATCAGTGACAAATCATGGAAGCATTGTCCTTAAGATGTTATATAAAATGAATACCAGGCCTAGTTAAGGAAGACCACTGCAACAAAAGTCATGAATTCTTGTCCCAACTCAAGCCAAGATTGGTAAACAGTGTGAGTGATCTCGAAAATGTTTATTAAGAAAGTTAAGTTCACTGCAAAACAAAGGAATCTGGATGAAGTTGGCATAATTAAAAAAATCAAAGCTTTATCTTGTTAAATATTTAACTTCTGTTCAGAATATAAAGATTCAAACATGTAACACAGAGTTCTTTTCCCAAAATCAGATACTGATTTCTAAATTTAGTGTATTTTTTAATTGTCTAAAGTTATGATTTGCGCTTTGTTAAACACTTTTGCATAGTAACACCCTTGCATCTCTGTAAGGTAAGTAAATTGCAATAAAAAGTAATTGTAAAATTCTGCAATGGATACTTCAAAGTTTTGGTTTTGTACAGTTCCTTATTAGAATATTAGTGCAGGTTCCTGTTAAAGAGAACTAAATTAAAACTGTAATATTCACAGTGCTAAGCTAATATCTGCTTAAATATCATAAGTTACGCGAAATAAGTGTGCAGGATATTTACGCATTAAAAAAATATAGATTTAAATTTTACGTTTTTATGTATTTACGTTTAGTTTTAATTAACAAGTGGCAGACACATCTTTTATGGCTAACTCTTAAAGCGACTAAATGAATTTTAATAAATTACAAAGTACTTATTTCAAACCAGCATCGATCATAAATTTGATCAGTATGAATTAGCAAATTGGCCTCAGGATTCGGATCATCTGCACAATAATAAGGTCACTCATTGAGGTACTATACAAATCATGCCGGCTTCATTTACTGACATGATTTTGAATTACCTATTAATCTGCATCAGTTTAGTTTTCTATGAAGGACTGGCTACTGAGATGAGATACAAAAAGGTATATTTAACTAGTTAGGCGGGAATAAACAAATACTAAAGTATTGTACAAATACAGACAGGAAAAACAGAAACAAATCATTTAAAAAAAAGTGTTTTAGAAGATGCGTGCAGTAAATGAAACTTTTCCATTTTTATATTTAAGCTTTAATAAAGAGCATTGTAATAGCACTTCGTAAATTGGAAAAATAATATGGTGTGTATAATACAGCATACGCTGCATTTCTACGAATGACTGGATCTCAGAGGAGACGTTTTAACTTGGAATTAACATTGGAATAGTATCAGTTTTTATCCAGAAATAATTTTTTATCCAGAATTACGTAAACGAGATATGAGATAATTAAAATTTATTTCCAATTCACGTTTACTCGAGAAATTCTAGTTTGCTTGATTCTAGATTTTCTAGATTCCTGCTTAATATTTATTTACTATTCATTATGAGAGAATGAATTAATTAAGATATATCTGTTTAAGTCTTAAGATCCATAATTAAATTAGCAAAAACTTACATAGTGTTACGATTATTATGATGGGAATATTATGTAAGAAAGTAGTTTTATTATCAAAATAAATATGTGCGGGATTTGCTAATTAAAGCCATACTTGTGAAAGAAGCAGCAGTTAATAAATCCCCCCAAATTAATTTCGTACGTCATCATGTCATAAGAACGTTATTCATTGCATCAGAATGTGTTAAATTGGTGTATTTTTATGTATAGTATTGTTGTGTGTGTATGGGTTCGTAATGGATTAATTGCACAAAGAACTAATGAGAGTTTGAGAAAATAAATTCTTTACAGTTCTGGATTTTTTCACAGATTTTGTACAGATCTAATCATTGTGACAAAGCACAAACGCAATGGAAAGCCCATCTAAAGAGCGAACCTCGCGCGATCTCTCAGTACCCCGAAGTCGACTCTAAACTAAAATCCTGAGAACTGATGTTCTCTCCGTTTTTATATAGTTCCCCCCCGCCCGAGTCGCCGAGATATCTCTAGTATCTTCCATTTCTTGAAATTATTGGAAGGCATATCTGGTTAAAGTTACATATAAGAGCCGTGTATAGTTACATATAGGGATAAATTACAGTTATTCAATTACAGTATCAATTTCAGTTATACAAGAATTGGACAAAAGTATTGCTGAATGATCCTGAAGTTTGGAGACTTTTGGCGGTTCTCACCGAATGTGACGACAAAAATTTGTCGCCAAAACAACTGCCAAGTTGACGATTTCTCACCAGTTTAGCGAGATAGCTCTTTATCTCAATGTTAAATAGACTTGACCCTGTAATTTTATTTTCTTCGCAGAGACTTCGTCTCTTGGGGCATTTCATGTTACATTACAAAAAAGATACTACGATTTTGCTTATAATTCCCCAAAATTATTTACAAATGTACAAAATTCATATTAGTATTGTTATGAAATAGGTGCACTTTGATATAATATGCTTTAACTCAGAAAGCTGGAAATTATTAGATGATTGACTTAACATTACCCACCAGGAAAGCTGAAGTAAAATAACATTAAAAATATCACTGGAATCAGAACTTATAATTTTTATATTTTTAAACTGAAAACAAATTTAACTTTAAAATTCTTACCATAGTACAACAATAGTCAAAACCCAGATCAAATTACAGCAATAAAATCTTACGCAGATTTACCACAGACTTTGGTCTAGAATGAAAAACTAAGTTAACTTCTTAAGACGATCTCAGCTCTAGTAAGTTTCCGTTAGTTGTTTCACTGCTCTGCGAGTAGCTTCTACAACAGGGTTACAAAATCAGGCAAGAAGTTGCAATAATCTTTCGACAAAGATTAGACTCTACTTTTAATCTGCCCCGTTTGCAGTACAATTTGCATAAAGCTCTGATCTAAATAAATATCAAGACAATACAAGGATCTTAGTACGGAAATAAACATAAAGCTAACTTTTTTAGTTTAATTTAGTTTAAATATCACGCTGAATAAGAATCGAAAACAAAGTCCAACATTAAGAATCAACGTAAATTTTTAAAAATTTTTGCAGTACTAGCTTTGATATTTTTTGAACTACCTTCTTCAGCTGCTAAGTGCAAATGAACCAAATAAACTGTGAAGAAAGATAAGATAAGGATAGATATAAGATAAGGATAGATATAAGATAAGAAGGGTTGAACAGAAGTTAAGCTACTGTCGCCATCTATTGATGAAAGGAGAAAAACTAAAACAAAATTTCTTTAAAGGCTGACGGTAAAGATGGATTGCAGTTGGGGTCACTAACTAGAACAGAAATGTTTTTTTTTTTTGGATGTGAAACGCTTCTAAAAAATCTAATTCACCAATGAAGGATGTTCCATTTTTCTGCAGCCAAAGTTATTCAGAAAACATCCTCCATTGGTGAATTAGATTTTTTAGAAGCGTTTCACATCCAAAAACATTTCTTTTCTAGTTAATGACCCCAATGGCAATCCATCTTTACCTTCAGTCGTTAAAGAAATTTTGTTTTAGTTTTTCTCCTTTCATCAATAGATCGCGCCAGTAGCTTAACTTCTGTTCAACTTTTTTTTTATCTTATGTTTCTTCACCCTTTATTTGGTTCGAAAACTATTAAAACTAGTACTGCAAAATTTTTTTTTTTTTTTTTAAATTTACGCTGATTCTTAATGTTGGGCTTTGTTTTCGACAAAGCTAACTGTTAGCAAAATGTAATTCAGGAATATTAAAATGTATATTTTGTAGCGTTTTATTATTTTAATTAACCGGTTATTATCATTTAAACCTTTACTGTCATTTCCTCTTTTCGTTTTCATGTCAGATAGCAAATTAGCCTGCGTGTATTTAAGCTGAAGTTTAATTGTAATACAGAGCGTGTTCTGTCTTTGAGCCTACGTTACTATGTTGCTGCTATTTCAGCTAAGATATGCAGTTTTCGGTCGTGCATGATAATTGCTGATATTTGAGTATTTATACCGGTTAGGTTTGTCAACCAACTTCATGTTGTTTATATTGTTTTCATTGAATTGTGTAGTCTTCGACTACTAGTGTATTTTAAATTTGAGCTTACTGTTATTTTAAAGCACCATGCGTACTTACTTTCTGCGCTTCCTTAGTTTCAATACAAAGATCTTCTACACGCTTCTTAAGACTTAGTTGTTATTTTAGACTCAGCGATAATCCGTAGTCACCCTACATAAAGTTTGGTTACAATTTATGATAGCTAAAAGTACTAAATTTTATCATATAAAGTAATTATTTTAGGAATTGTTAATCCTAATAAAACTAAAACAGAGTTATATAAAGTATGAAAACCAAAAATAAAAAGAGAAAACGTAAGTGTTTTCAAACATTAAGATTTAAGCGCTATGTTACCCATGCTCATGTGTTTGTACATAAAGGTATGTTATGTTAGGCATAGAGACAACACACTGAAAACATAATTATAGCCTGCCCTACTGCAGGAAGGTGACAGTGTTGGTGTTGCTAATAATACATGTGATCTTAATCTCTTTCCAAGAGAAGATACCATAGCGTCACACCCCCATCAAAATCCTGTAAGTGAAATAAAAACTATCCGTCTTCTTCAACCTAATCTTTGAATTCAGTATGAAAATCGTTTACAAAGAAAACAGTCACAAATTAAATTCCTTTTTTGGATGCTTAAGTATTGCAAATGATCTAGTGTGCATCACATTAAGCATCTTGTCTCGACTAGGAAATTTGTTTAATATCTTTGAAATTTTATTAATGACTTCTGCGAGTGAACCCGATTACTATACTAAATGTTGAACGCATTTCTACTAAGATTGAAATGATATTAAAGAATTATCTTAATAACAGCTTCCTTAAGCACAACAGCTTCCTTAAGCACTCTGAACTAAGTGGGATTTCGATAAATGATTTTAAAATAGTTATTTCCAGTAATTTTAAAAGGAAGAATTGGAGTAAGTTAATTTTAACTTCCAAAAATAACAAAATTCATAATAATAGAATATAAATATTTTATTCCGAAACTACCATCAGCTTCAGAAGAGAATTTATAAATAAACATAATGAAAATTAAAAAAACGTATTGCTCATTTTACAGAGTAAGATCTACTAAACTCAACATCATACTAAACAATGCGGTATTATACTTTCATTATCCTACCATAAAAGAATCTTTATAGAATAAAACAATTTCTTCAAAACTCTATAATTTGTTACTTGTAATGACTTTCGTGAATAACTATTGATCTTTAAAATGAGTATTGGTTATATTTTTAAAAACATTATTGTGCAATGGATTAATTAAAATTTTGAATCTTTTTTAGCAACTATAGCATCAAGGTACCAAGAACCGTCATCATTGCCGCAGAGACTTTTGCTTTGCTTAATAGTGCTCTCAATCCAATATTTTATGGCTACTTCAACGTCCGTGTTCGCAAAGGCTTTATAGAGATAGTCTACAAGAAGAGAGACCTTACTAGGGACAGAATTTGCAATGGCTATTCTGCAGACACGTCCTACAGCAGCACCATTCTCCAACAACTCGACAACAGACCTCCTACAACTCAGCTGGTTCTAGAGATGTCCGAATTTTCCAACCGCTCTCCAAATGGATCACCAACTTACCGTACAAGGCGAAGCCCAAGATCACTTAAGAGAAGAGCGCAGAGCAACAACATGACAGCCAAGTTATGACATCCAAGATGTTTCTGTGGAGGTTGTTACAGTGATAGTGCCCTGTAACGGGCAGAATTTAATTGTTGGCACGTTTTAGTTAAATTTTGCTTTTGGCGATTCTTCGCTTTATGTTTATGAAATGTGTGACTCCCACCCATTTTATTGGAAACTCAACGACTAGTCTTGGATATTCACTAGCAACAAGATAACTATTAAAAGACGTCAATAGAGGCTTAAATAGCAAACGATTTAGCAGCAAACAATTGTCATAATCTAGGAGTATTATCACACTACACTCAGCTCAAATGTTTCTTGCAGTCCAGGTAATTTCCTCAAAAGCATTTAGTTGTTAGAAGAATCGCAGTTCTGCGAAACATATATGATTTGGGACCACAGTTCAAATTTTTTTTTTCCGTTTGTGCTACTTATGCAGTACTTAAATGTTGCAGAGGATATGAAACTGTGACTCCTTAAAATATGTTGATAAATATTTGTCGAGTGTCACATATAATCAGATATGATCTCAGAGTATAGTTTCAGACATAAATGGACAAATATTCAGAATAGATGTGAAATACCATGATCGTTTTCGGATACCACAACTGCCACAAATAACGGTAGATTTCCTTACGAGTCTTATTCATTCGCTCGTGGAATATTATTAACATGGTGCTAAATTGTGATTGTTATTTAAAACGTTTTCTCAGTGTTGTCTTAATTCATTTCAGCTGCATGATATCGATAATTTTATTATCATTGTAATTATTCCATAGAAATTAAAGGGAAATATTTACTGTTAATGTAAGAAAGATTTTCCAAAACTTAGATCGCTAATGTGTATTTAACTTATCAGTATGTGAAGTTTATTGTAGTGTGAAAGCCTCTTTTATTGTAGTGTGAAAGCCCTTTTAAGTTGTACTTTTCTGTAATGTGGATCTGCATTAAGAAATACTAACTGTATGTAATGTAAAGTTTAAGTCGTAATCGTGTTGTAAAAGATATATCTGTTGATTGCATTGAATAGTGACATCTCTTTTGTAATGTATGATATTGCTAAATATTAAATATGTAATGGAATATATATGTATGTTCTTGTATATAACTTTCTTCCGTGATTCCAAATAGTCTTATGTGTATGTATTAATGTACTTGTGCTCATTTTTTGGTCAAAGGACTTTATGAATGTGATTCCATGGACAGCTAAATCAAAAAGCGTTAAGAAATTTGAATATATTTATTTAAAACATGTGTTGGCAAATTAGAGATTTTTATGGTTGTTGACAGCATTAATATGCATTTCTAAATACCAGTAACGCGCACACAGTAACAGAAACCGTTTTCACGTTATGTAGGTTGTGAGGTTTCTGAGCTTTCCTTTTTTATTTATATTTTACTCTATTTGTTATTGAGCATGCTCATAATTAACTAATTTTGTACCAGAACAGGATTTCTGCGATATCTGTCATTTTAATAATAAAAAGTTTCGTTTTTATAACATTTTTATGACAACTAGGTTTTTATCTCTTTGTAAATCTACCTTGTAGACGAAATTATGATGCAAGGAAATACTTAATCGCCCATAATAAGATTTACTTGAGTCTTTTTTATAAATAGGCCGAACCAATACTGCAATTCAATACTTTCTCCTTTAAGTTCAATGTAAGTCAGGAGATTTAGACATTTCCGTTTTAATTATAGTTAAGAGAAATGGTTGTTTGTAATTTATGATGAAATAGAATTATCTTTATTTATTTCATAGTATTTACAACAACAGTGAAAATATTTCCCTTATTCCCGTGTATTTCAAGCGTATTAAATGTCAAACAAAAATCTTTTACAATGAATTACCTTTAACGTGTGATAATGCATCAAACGTAGTTAAATACCATCAAATCGTGATAATAGTCACGATACAATTCACCAATTATTATATAATAATGAACATTCATAAAATGTAATCAGTTAATAATAATCCTTCAGATATTTAAAAATGTCACTAATTTTAAAGAAAGTATTACTATTCCTCATGAAACCTATTTGTGTTGCTGATTTTCCTCCATTAAATTGTAATTCTGTAAATACTACTACTACTACTATGAATAATAATAATAATAATAATAATAATAATAATAATAATAAATAATAATATAAAATTCTGTGTATTTTGCAAAATGTTTTTTATTACTTGATACAGTCAGTTCTATTGCTTTGTTTGCAAGAATAATCATATATTTAATAATGAGATAGATGTCCTTCAAATTAAAATGTAAGCTGAAATCATATTTATTATGCATATAAATGGTTCAAAGGAAACTGCTCCTTACAGTAATAAATTTCCCTTTGCACTGTTAAGAAACCTAGGATTGGGCAAACAATTATTTTAATCATTAATTATACAGTAAAATAAGTTTTTAAGTTATTAGATGTTTCAACATCGTCTGCTTAAAACCGTAATCGGTTCTTCAGTGCTGCATTTTTGATAAAATTAACCGCGTATTTAAAACAAGTCTTTTATTGCTTTTAATAAAACGTCAAATATTAAACATGCAGTTAAAGTAAAATTTACGAAACATTAAAAAAATTAGTTACGCGTTATTTCATTATATTTAGCAGAAAAAGTATCACTTCATAAATTATACATGAATTTCATTTCTTTTTGTTTTAAGAAATATGGTATTCTTTAACCTAATTATGGAAATGAAAAATGATTTTAACGCATAAGAAATCAAACATTACTTATGAAATTCGAATACAAAAATCACTAAACAAATCTTGATTTATAAAAAGAAACAATTTTGAGAAATTTTCAGATTATTGCATTAATGTTTAATACAAATACATATACTACGTATTTCTGTGCAAAGGTAAATACAGTGATTTCAGGTAAAAATATAACTATCTAATTCCATTTTGCTTTACCTGCGTCCTCCACTTTATATGAACAGCATAATGAATTAATATTAAGAAATTTTTCCAATTCTCTACACCTGTCCCGAATTCAACTTTTTAGTTATATATATTTTTATTTCTGATATAGCATGGTAGTATGTTCCAACCAGTAAATTTAATGCTTTTGAATTTTAAAAAAGTGTTGGTAACTGTTTAATGTTTAGTAATTTAAAAGAACAATAAAAATGTAATAAGAAAAATAATGTATTAACATATTTGGAAAATAAAGGAAATTGTTATACGTAAAACATTTGTAATGTTTCTTACTAAAGAGAAGTTTTTGTTATTATAGTATTTCTCTGTATTCAATGAATGCTTCTAAACTGCATATTAAATTCTATTAAATTTACAACACTATTTGAAGTTGTAATTTTCTGAAGAATGGAAGTTGCTGTGGAAGAATTCGACCTAGAAAATTTTATCTTACAGTACATGTATATAATGTGAATGAATTTTCAAGCACTTTAAATACCTAGAACGTAAAGATATCTGTGTTACAAGCAACCAAACCCAAGGCAACAATTTTTTCGACACGGCTGGGTATTAAGCGAAACCAATGCAGGATTGAATAATAAGGTATCGTTGGTCGTTGTTGGCATATGAATATCTGTCCTGTTGTGGACTATTCGTTTTCAGTCAGCGAGGAGTCCAGTAGTGAGTGCTTGGACGACGCCTAAAGTGTAAATTTCTGAAGTTATGTATGACTTTCGATCTTGCATTCTCCTGTTAACAGGTGTCTCCATGGAGTTTCTGAAGTTGTGAAACAGTCAATAAGAGGCAACACTTCTACAATATAATGCTAGCTGGTCATATCACATAAGCATGCCAGACTTGAAAGGGTCTTATATCTAGTGGCACTTCATATCCCGGCTCCAGATGTGGGATTGATAAAAGGATGATTTCGACAATCAGTCTCCGTGATGCAGCCACACATTGACAAGCCGTCATAGTGTTACATGGAAAAATGCATTTTGTCTGAAAAAACGATGTCACGTCTTTCATAAGGTCAAGTGCGTCATCATAAAACGCACATGTTTGTACTATAATGTTAAAAGTAAGTCAAGTGATAACCTTCTTACACTAGCAAATATTTATACATTTGCTGAAGATGATGGCCTTGCTTTAAGGTCCTGATGTTTGTGCTGTGCCATACGCCCTAACTCATGAACTAGTAGGAATGCTGTAACTTTACAATTCGTACGGAATATGTCTGTCCCCTCGGCGTGTCAAGGTCTTGTAGTTCTTGTTATCATCTCGTCTACTCCCGATAAACAGCAGCACTCTATAGCCCAGTTAAGACAAACCGCAACCATGGTAAACAGTTCTCCTACGACCAAATTAAGTTGTATGTGTAGATTTTTTTATTCAAGCAAATAACAAGTAAATATGACTCACATCTCTAGCTGGTTTTTCGGATGATACGTAGCGGCGAATAACAGTTAATGTGTGTGAAGTATATGGTGTGATTTTAATAGCTAACGCTTCTACGGCTAAGAGCTGTGGAACTGTTATAGAATAATAAGAAATGGAGCGTTTTGCTAAAATTAAATGTCCTCCTCGTGAATTTGTCTGACAGCCGGTCTGCCAACTTCTGTACAATCCAGTTGATAAGTAGCATGATTTGGATCATGGAAATAATCATACAGGCCAGCCATGTGCTGTTGTAAGAGAATAATACCAGGACTATACTTATACATGAATTCCTTAAGTTCATAGCTTTTCTGGAACAGTTAATTAACATGTGTTCCAAGTAACAGTAGTAAGAGAAATGTTGTAATTACTCACTGTCATGGCCAGTAAATTCAAATATTTTTTAAAAAAAGTGCATACATTTTGTCAATAGGATTTCCATCTGCTCTCAGTTCAGGCAGATATTTTTTAAATGTATTATTCATTACAATACGTTTTTCAAATATTTCGTTTATTTCTGAGATATACTTAAAAATCCTAAAACCTCACTATCTTACCTGGATTTTGCTTACTATTAAAAGTTTTGAATGCAGGCTTATTAACTGTCATAATACTTTAGATTGGTAGTTGTGAAATAGTAGTAACACTGCCAGTAATTTGTATATTTCCAATATTGATCCTAACGTTTTTGTTTTTTAACATTTAAGAATAATTTATTCCAAGTTTGAGAGTACTATCTTTTTGGCTTGCTGATTCTTACTTGGAAAATGCTGGGAAATCCCGATAGGAAGCAGGCTGTTTCGTATTTTGGCAAATTATGCATTTAGGTTCCTCTCTTCTTCCCTTATTATGAATTATCCCCTTTATACTGTCTTATTTGGGCAGTCTACAGCTATGTTAGGTAGGAGGTATGTGATGCACTTAGGTACAAAGAAACAGTTTTCAGAGAAATAATGCCACTTTTGCCAATTGTGGTAGGTATTGTGATATTTGATTTTTGGAAATAAATTTCTCCGCATTAATTAAGAAATACATCAGATTTCTTAAAACACAAATATGACCTACAACATCATTTTATGTAGCAGTCATCTGTATGATATGGATTTTGTATCGCATATGTATGATATGAAATTTTAATACATTGGTATGACATGAAGAATTAGTTTACATACTTAATTGAGCAATATTTTGTTTGAAAATCCACGTTCGTAAAGAATACCTGTAATTTAACTTATATCTTTGGTAGCACCTTATTAAATATTATAACCTTCTTTTATTGTTTTATTATATTTCGTGTTGGCGATATAATATGTATATGTTTTTCTTAAAAAACACCAAAAGCTCTGTGATCATCTTTAGTGCATTGTAAGATTTTCTGAAACTCGCCGTTTAATTTACCAAGGAATTTCCCTGTGGTGCTTCGGGCTGGCTGGTTGAAGAAATCTTCAAACGATAAGTAAGCTGCTGGGGTTAACCATGAAGTATTTGAAATTTAAACCTATTTACTTAATTTTCTTTATCCCATCCATTTTCCAAATTTTTCGTTTGCAAAAATTCAGTCTCCTCCCATTGCGTTCACGTGTTCCGCTCATCAACCAATTAGCAAACATCTAAAACTGTGGACTACAATTTTATCTCTAGTTCCTAACCAATAGCTCCGGAGACGTCAGTAGAGAGGCATGCTGCCGTTTATGCTTCATCCAGCTGCAATCAGACAATTCGATAATGAAACTACTATCTCTCTTGACCTAATCGTCGTTATTGAAGCGCCCTTTTACTGCAAGACCTCTCCGCCTCAACAAGTGCTATCTTAGACTATTCACTACTTTCACTCCGAATATAAATAAATATACTTGTCGTTCCTCAACAAATCATCGTGCTGTAAACTTTAGAAGAGTGTTTCCGGAGATCAATTCCTGGTATCCCAGCACAAAATTGTAAATTTTCTTGTCGATTCCGGATTACATTAATATTTATTTTTATATGATTCAATAACAATTCGTTTGTACACCTACTAAGTAAAATAGGTGTTATTAGAAACTTTAACAGTTCGTTCTTTCACTTCTCGTACCTATTATTCCTTACGTTACGTTATTCCAGCAAGCGTAACAAGCTATGCAAACTATATTTTTACCACTAGGAGAAATGTAACAAATATTCCAAGACCTTGAAAAACTTAATCACAGAAGATCTTTAGAAATGAACTCCATAGAAAGTAGTAGGAATTTCAATGTCGGTTTGAAGAAAGTTTGTAAGACAAGTTGAATAAAGACGAAGAATTATGTTCTGTAGAAGTTGAAGATAGTGACGAAGTGAAACGCGGAAAAAATTTTCGGCTGTTGGAAGGTAAACAGCAGACTGAAACAGCACAGAACAAAATTACTGAAGATCTTAGAATTAAAAAATATGTTTACCAGCAAAACATTCCCCTGAGGGGAAACCAAAGATTAAGCGGAATACTAATTCAGAAGTCAAACAACAAAAATCAGCGTTATACTTACAAATCAGCATTATACTTTGTGAAAATTTTGTAGGTATAACGCTGATTTTTGTTGTTTGACTTCTGAATTAGTATTTATTCGGCGTGTTATTGTGTCTTAATTATTAAGCGGAATAGTCAAGGATTCAAGCCAGCTGGCTGTCAAGCGGGGAAGAAGTGCAGTAGCGGAGCTTATTTTAATGTTCGTGGTACATTCAGAATAGCGGCTTTTGTCCTGTCAACAACCTCCTTTTCATGACGGAGCATTGACCATTTTAAACATAAGAAAAAAATTCTTCAAAGAGAAAGGTGCAAATTCTCACAACATGGCAAAGCTTCAATTTAAATATGAAATGAGATAGCAGAAACGGGTATCAGTCAGTCTGTACTAATGCGACTGAGCGCCGCCTGAGATAACCACTTACCTGACTTTGTTGTAAAAGTCTTACAGTGTTAATAGTCATCCTGGCAGAAGGGAATATTTTCTTCGTCTAAAAATATAAATATAAATACTACATGGGCATATAAGGCTTGTGTATAAGCATAGATACGTTAATTGCAAACATTGTTTTGTACAAGATACATGTGATAGTTACATAAAATCATGACAGTTATGTGTACATTTAAACATTATCTGAATTCATATTTACAATACTTTTACTGAGATAATCAGAGTAAACTTGTAATTCATTTACACATTGACTGGATTTTCAATATCATTTAAACTGCTTTACAATATTATTTTTATCAAAGTACATACAAACTGGATAGTAATGTGCTTACAATACAATAGGTTTGCTCTTACAGTTCTGTTACTATTGTACTGGGTAAGCTATTTTCCTAGTGTTCATTTTCAGTTGTTGTAGTATTTTGAATTGCTATTAAAATTATGCTGCAAAGATACAATTCTCAAGGGAGGGGGAGAAATTTTTAGTATCTTGCTGAGCAAAGCCTGATCACCTCCTCTATTTTAGTTTTCGTCTGCTTGTTGCCGCAGATATTCTCCGCCCATTACGACCAGTATTCACTGCTTGGCATTTTTAAATGCAGTTCATCGGTTTGTGGGCAGTTGAAGAGGAAGTGATCTGCATCACCTACCGCACCACATTGACACAATTCTGATGCTCGTTTGCTGAATTTCTTAAGATAATGTGGGAAGGGACCATGGCCAGTGTAGAATTGAGTTTGTGCTCCGCTCTATGTATTAATTGAGCATGTAACTTTCGGAATGAACTTGTAGGTTCTCCTCCCTGTGCTTGACTGGGGCCTGTATTTCATTTAGAGCATTATTTTTCTGTTAGTTATATCAACAAAACCTTCTCATTCTTCCCTGAACTTAA